AGGACGCTGTGTCACTAGGGCTCTGCTCTGATGTTCCCCTGGGCTGAGGTGTCTGGCCATGACCGTGGGGGACTCTGGCAGTGGTGTTTCACCTGAACATGTTCACTGTTCACATCACAAATGTCACAAAGGCTGCCTTGCTCCCAGCAAGTTGCCTTCAGGCTGGGCTAGAGGTCCAAGGACATGCCTTTCTGCTGTCCTCAGCTATGTAATGGCTTTATAGAGAGCTGCCGAGGGAGTAGAGACAGCGGGGACTTCACCAAGAAAGAGTATGGGAATAAAACTACCCAGAAGGAAAATTCTGTTTTCCCCAACACGGACAGCAGCTCTAATGCTCTGTGGGCAAACTGTCCCTTTCCGTGGTTATGTGGCTGTGAGATAAGAGATGCTCTGCTGTATGAATGCCCTTCTCACTTGAGGTTTCATTTCACCCTGAATAACTCCCCGCCTCCTTTAAAAAAAAAAAAAAAAAAAAAAAGGATTTCTGTAATGATCAGAGGCAAAGAAGAATTTGTGAAAGACAGGACAAGAAAAACGCAGCCACTTTTAAGTCAGTGCCAGGCAGTGGAGGGAGAGGTCTCCTACAGCACTTCTGGTTGAAAACCAGTTATCAAAACTCAACAGTAACCTTTGGAAATTATTTCACCTGTCAAACAAGGCCTAAAGTGGTTGAACTTCAGAGTTTGAACCCTTCCACATCGTCAACCTTCAATGACATCTTTATTCAAGTAAGACAGCTATTCTTTCCTGTGTACTTACAGCACCAAATGCTACCTTGTGTTAAACCACTGGGGCTTTTCAATCAATATGAAGTTTGGCCCTTACCGTACAAAGGACGACAGATTCGCAACGTCAAGTGAGGTCCCCCTTTGTGACAGGTCTGTCGCCTCCATATAGGCCAGGCAAAAGAACATCCCACCCATCCAGTCGCGCTGAGACACTGCTAGAGATGCTGCAGCCCCGAGAGAGGGGCTGTCTGGCCTGTGTGGTGCAGGGAGACAGAGCCTCCCTCATCCTCCTGCAGCCCTTACCAAGTGAGACACAGATGCCCCGCTTGGTGAGTTCCCGGATCACCTCGCTGCTCCTCTTCATCTCTGGGGCCAGGGTGACTATGCGGACACAGTCCAGGGAGCCATAGGTGGCAAGAAGGTCCTGGAAGGCACCTTCCTTAAAGGTGCGGAGGCAGTGCTCTGGGTGCGCCCCTTTCTTCTCCTTGCTGATGAATGGTCCTTCCAGATGGGCCCCTGCCCAGACAGGAACACAAAGCCATGACCCTTCCTCTCCCCACCAACCTGCTGTATCAACCCTGCTCCAGTCTAGCTCTTGCCATTCTCCCGCAGCAAAACTCATGGCTCAGGTAACTCTGACCTCAGCACAGTGAAAGATGCAGTGTTAGCAACTGGCCAAGCCGCCCCGCTGCTGTTTCCCTGTGGGGCCCAAAAGGGCTGGAGCGGTGCGTGTACGATGGCAGAGACCATGGCAAAGGCCAGGCACAGGTTGAGGGAGAAAGCGGGTATGTGCCCATCTGTGCACCCTTCCCATTGAGAGAGCTCCATCTCTCATCTCTGCTGTCCCTGCAGTAGCTTCTTTCCCCTCAACAGTGAGATTGCTACCTAGAGTAGCACCAGAGAGGGTAGTGAGGGAGAAAACCACTTACCCAGGATACCTGCTCCGTGGGCTCCACCATTTCTTATACTGATCTGAGGGAGAACCTAGAGAAGGGGGTTTGTCAGACACAGCACCCCAGACACAACACCCCAGCCTGCCAAAGCAAGCCCAAACCTCAGGTCCAGAGAGAATTTTGTAGCTGGATCACTTGGGACCATCAGCCACACACGGCTCGCAAAGAAGAAGCCAGCTGCAAGCCCCGTTGTGCAAAGCTGGCCTGGGAGACATTGCTGTCTCAGCAGTCTAAAGGTTAAGGGCAAGAAATCCAGGGGTAGAGTCCAGCTCCTCATGCCCATGGCTTTTCTGCCAAGGCAGTTATCCTGGTCTCAGCAGACCCAGCCTTGGCCCTCTCCCCTCTTGGTACCAACCTCAGCCCTTTATGGCCCTGCAGATGAGGAGGAGAAAGTCATTTACCTGGTGGTACACAGATGGAGGAGAGGTCACCAGGGTGGGACAGAAGGAGGTCACTCCATGGGAGAGGATTTTCTGACTGACCAGGTCAATCCCTGATTTGAAGTCATCTGTAGCCAGGGAGAAGTCCACCCCAAAGCCTCCTGCACCATGAACAAAACAGAGATGAAGCTGCAGCCCTCCACCCCCAGTGGACGTTTTCCCACCTGAAGATGCCGAAGAAACATTTTGCATGACCAGAGCGAGCCGCTCCATTTGTACAGTACTGACCAGAAGCAAAGGGCTCCACCAGCACTTCTCCTGTCCTATGTTTGCAAGGCTCTGCGAGTACAAATCCAACCAACGCTGTCCCGCTGAAGTGCTTTTCCCCACAGCATCTCAGCATTTTGCAACTTTGTATTTTGATGCAGGGCAAAATCTGAGCATTCCCCACTGGAGAAGGGATCTAGCTTCCAACATAAGCTACCATGGAACAAGCCTCTTGTGATCCTCAGGCAAGAGCTGCTGCAGGTAAGGTTTGTTCCCTTGAGAAGCCCTGCTCTGTCCTCCTCACGTCCTGGAAAGGGTAGGGTGGGCATCCTGCCACGCAGGGGCAGGGACTGTGGATGAAAATGAAGTTAAGAGGAAAGTTGGGCTAAAAACCCCACCCAGCCAGAAGGGATCAATTAGGTGACAGCAGCAACCGTGGGCAAAATTGTTCTTTATCATTAGTTTGGTGATTCACATCTCCCCTGAGCAGCTGAAACACGCTTGGTCACAGGCAGTACACACACAGCAGGGTCTGAAGGTCAGTGATGGACAAACCTGGGACCCCCCACCCCACTGCAAGCGTGCGTGGCTTTGCCGTACCATTGATCTGGACATCGATGAAGCCTGGGGCGATGATGCTGTCCTTGCAGTCCAGCTGGATGTCAGCAGAGCCCTTCTCATCGAAGAAGAGTTTCTCCGGGTTGAGGATCTTCCCCTCTCGCACCCACAGGTCCTCCCTGAAGGGACACACACCAAGCTCCTCTGCCATCTGCGGTGCAGCACACGGGAGCAGGTGGCCATGGCCGCAGTGACAGGGGTGGCCTCAGGCAAAGCAGACCCCGCTGGCACCCTCTGCCATGGAGTCTCCGATGTCTACTAGGGCAACGCTGCTCTTCCAGCAGTGACACAACTGGGAGCCCTCTCTCTGCCAGGCCTCTGCTTTACAAAACTCATGGGAATGGAATTTTCATGGGCTGCCCATCAAATGTGGTGGTGATGGCCAAGGGGCCCGGGGCTGGCAGAGGAGGCAAAACATAAGTGGAAAAAGGGCACAGAAATCAGGGAGTGAGGGACAGCGGGAGCGTGGGGGGTGACAACTGAGATCTGCTGCTCTGGGGGACCTGGGGACAGTCCTGGGGCGCTCCAGGTTCCAGGTCAGCTCTGCAGCCCGGCCGTGAGCCCAGCACCCCCCAGCACTCCCCGGTAC